TCCTAGCACAGTTAATTGAGGTGTGATCCGTTCTACATACAGAGTAGTGTCAGATTCCCCGTGGAGTTAAGAATTGTTAATTCATTGTCATCTTCAAGATTTCATTTCATTAATTACTGGAATAAAAAAAAAATCCTCAGGCATTTAGAATGAAATTGGTTGGAGGGGGGGGAAAGAGAAAGGGACACCCAAATCCCTATTTCTAGGCTTCTTTTTTTTTTTTTTAATGCCAGAATTTGTCTACAGGGGATTATTCTGGAATAATTACTACAAAATTAACTTTCCATGTGGGACCTGTTATTCTCTGCTTGGAGCACCATTTGCAGTTGACCTTAAACATACATTCAAAGGGGGTGAAGTTGTAGGACAGTATCTCTCAACTGTCAGATCAAAATTTGCAGAAATAGGATCTTAAAAGTCATCTTCTTATCATTAGTTTTTGGCACCTAAAGACCATCTAAACATCAGAGTATTTCCATTAACTTCAGCAAATCTATTGAATGCGCAGTACTTTATTACTTACTTTTTTTATTAATTTTATTAATTAAATTGTATTAATTTTTACTAAATTTTATTAATTTTTATTAATATTTTACTAATATTTATTAATTTATTACTAATAATAACTCACAACACACATTTAGGTGGCAGATTGTAGGGTCTCAGTTTTAAATTCTTGGCCCTGTTCTGTTACTGTGACCCATAAACACTCAGCTATCAAGTGTAGACTATGTAGTTTGAGGGAAGACATGTCCATAGGACCTTTGAAGACATCCACAGAGCATCCAAAGGACCTTTTAATCCAATACCTTGTTTCCATCAGGGAAAAGGAGTGATGCCTGGGGAAAGGATATGGGAAAAAAAGTTATGTGGAAGGTCCATCGGCCCATCAGCATCATCAGGACGCTGATGAGATGTCCAGTCATCAGTGGCTTAAGGAGCTCCTGAGCTGACATTTCAGTTCAGAGTGTTGGCTTTAACAACACTTCATAAAGCCCTTTGTACTTTTCCACACTGTTTGTTTTGTAAATCTGAAAGAACCTCAATTCCAGACAAGTAAACTTCATTCATTTCAACATGAAGATGATCTTTGGGCTGTTAAAGGCACTTGTTCAATAAAAGTAGTAATACAGTCTTGAGTGATTCACTTCCCTTTGCTACTCTTACATGTCACCAGATATGTACTGAGGCATCTTTTAGGTGGGTGTTCAAAATTCAGTGTATAATATTTGAGTCTGTGGTTGTCTGTAGTCAAAAAAGATACGGAAAGAAGTTTGATTTGTGACATCTGCTAGCAAAAACTACTTTTATTGTTGAAAATTTTAACATCAAAATGACTGTGCAGAATGCTTAGGGCAGAAAGCACTAAACAGTAGAGTCATAGGTGACTGGAAGCAAAATAAGTACTAACATGAAGCAGAGATGTGAGGCATTAACAGAAATAATGTAAACTGAATTTTTGTGAAACAGAAACTTGGAATTCAGTATTTTGTCTGCTGTGTAGCCACTGGTAATAGCAACTTCACACACTACCGTCATGGACTATTTTTTAACAGATAACATGGAAATAAAACGTTTTCCGTTTCTATCCATCAGAATTAAAAGCGTTATAATGATGATAATGATAGGTGGTAATTAGTAAAACAAATATATTAAATATGTTTAATCTGCAGTCTGCTTGGCATCATTTCTTGATAATTAGGCTATATAGGCTATTTAGCTGAAAATTCAAACATTATTAATGACATTAGAAACTCCAACCAATTCAGTATTCTGTGTGCAATCACTGGGATGCCTCATGGGCTATTAAAAAAAAAGATAAAACCTTTCATAGAAATTTTGCATTGTCAGGAAGCAAACTGAAAGAATAGTGAGTCTTCACATCTTGGAGTATGGTTAATACGCGTTCTCTAAATTGCCAGTTCAAATCTTTCCCAAGTATACTAGCAGTGATATTGAACTTATTATAATTTATAAGAGTTCACACCTCAAAATTTTCTGATAATTTTCACTCATTGGTAAATTTGCTATTCTCAGGCCACAGCTGTCAGTATTTTTTTCTGGCAGAAAGCTGCATGGGTGCCAGGACTGGTGGATCATGCTTTCCAGTGTCCTCCGCCAGTCATTTCTGCTATCTCTTTTGGCACTCTGCACAGGTCTGGGAACTGGTCTGGCTGAAGAAATATCTGACAATGAAGAAGTTTTATTCCCTTGATAATTGATACTCTGAGAAAGATCAACCATCATTGCTTTGCGTTTTGCACAGCAGTCACCCATGTTCAGAGATATTAGATTTCTTTTTCAAAATGTTTGTTTCTGTTTTTAGAAAACAGAGGCTCTACAAAATTAAGATGTGCTATGTAGAACATGGGTTACTACAAAACTATACAGAAAACTTTCATGCATAAAAGTATCAAAATAACAAAAAATAACAAAATATCAGTCAGGGACTTGGATGACTTGTGGGTGGGATTCTGCCCGTGTAAGTCCACTTTCCTGGTAAATTTTACCTATTTGAATAGATTTTACCTGGTTGAAGCAACAGGAGGTGAACAAAGGAAAGAGTAGTGGTACTGCAAAATATCCCAAAGCAGATGCTTCCATCTTCACTATTCACGCAGAGCAAATCCTGGACTTGCTGTACCCACTCAGCCATCCTTTCTGCATCTCAGAAAACACTGAGGACTGCAGCTGCTGCTGTAACCTAGGAAATCTGCCAGAGAGCAAGCATGACCTTATGAGCACAGAAATAAAACATTTCAAGTCTACACAAAGCTAGAAGATTCTGTCACAAAATCTCTTTCGCTGGATGAAACGTTTTTGTCTACAAAAAATAGACTCAGGAAGCTGATGTTCAGTATTGAGCCTAATATCCCTTCACTCTCTTGTAGCCCACAGTGAAGGTACAGCTCTGTAGTCTCTGAAATTTCTGCATGCTCCGTCTGTTAGGAGAGGAAGCCCTAAGCAGTATGTCAAGTGTGCTGGGAAAAGGAGGTTGTGTAGTGTTTATATTCCATCTATGAGGGAGTACGAGTCAAGACATTGGAATAATGGCAGGCTGTGTGCTAGGGAGATGGATTAGTTGGCGTTGAGGACAGTAAGGATACAACTTCTGTAGGTAAGGACCTTGAAAAACATGCAGATTTGCAGTTCTTTTATTAACAAATCCTTCGTGGGAGAACCTGGTCGTTCTTCCATAACAGCCAAAAGTTACTGTGGGTGGCTCTTTTTTTCAATTATTTTCTTTGTCACCTATAAACAGTTCTTCTAAGCTCAGTTACACACTGCTGCTTTGTTGTTTCCCATTCTGCCAGGCCTTTATTTTCTTTAGAAGTTTGACCTTTGTGTGTGTACTATACCTTTCTCTCTCCTGAATGTATGCTACACTTGTAATTTCAATGAATCATCAATCTTTGGTTTCACACATATGCACAGACATCTTCGCTCACCTGAACTAAAAGAGCCAAAGGGCTCACTACATATTTTAAAGGTAATTGAAGAGATGACAGTCCAGAAAGATAAGAAAAAAAAAAAAAGGATTTAGCCTTTAGTGGTCAGTCATGTAAATGTCTCTCAGTGCCTAGCCTATTCCCAGAAGGCGGGAGGATTTAGAAGCCAAAAGGTTTGTAGTATAGGTTTCTTTAATAGCACAACAAGCTTTTTGATTTTATTTTAGTGTGTAATGTGATACAAGACCACATATTTTTTAATGAGATTTTCCATTGCTCTTCTATTTTGTGCTGCCCGTGTGATCTTCCCATATGTTTTGTACCTCTAAATCTTTATTTTAATTATCCTTACAAAACACCCTTTAATGGTGAAAGGAGGGTTAGGATGCAAAAAGATAAAGTTATTTTTGTAGAAGAATGAAAGTGCTGTTTTAAAGCAAGCAACTGCACCTCGGGTTCCTGGGTCCCACATAATGTCCCTGACACTTCCTTTCTCTCAGGTGTTGACTCGTGATGAGTGCTGTTGCAGCAGCCAGCACGCTTCTTCATTCCCAAATGTCTATTCATTACTTCTCCTTCGTGTTTTTGGAATGAGGAAGATTCCCTGTATAGCGAATTAAAATGCAGGCAGGAAAACTGGCCATACTTTGAATGTGTGATAAGGACTGTTCATGATGGGTTACAAGTTGCCTTGTGAAATGGTTTTCTCAGTCTTCCATAATTTATACTTTGGAGGTCACGATTTTGTACTGGAAACAAAATAGTATCCATTCCTATGGAAACGGGCATTATGATGTCACTTCATTTTTTCAGTGAGATCCAGAGGAACCCGTAGTGAATTATGAGCCCTACTCTTGGAGCTGAAGCTGTAGAATATTGTAAGCATACTGCTGCCTGACGTGCTCATGTTTCCTATTTTAGACCTGACTGATCTTCAGATAACATATGGTGGTACAAGTAATTGGAAAATTGGCAGACCTGTCAAGAAAATATGCTAGATGGGACAAAAATATGATGCTGCAGCACATAAAGTGTCTCTGAAGTTAAATTTATTGTCTTTTATCAAATGGTGAAGTAAACGTATCTGGTCTCAAAAAAATGAAACATTTTTCAATGGCAGATGCTTTTCAAAAGTAATTTTTAGAACAGTGATGAAAGTTCTTGTATTTGAAAGTAATTTAGTAGAAACCTCTGGTCAAGAACAAAGGAAAGGTGTGTAATACTGTGTGCTGCAGACGTTTTAGTATCTTGTCATCCGTGTCTGGTTTAGTAATTTCTTTATGTAACCATCCAGTAAATTGGTCAGTGAAATGTTTACTCATCAAATTATTCTTCTACTGTCAATGTAGGTAATTAGACTTGTTTAAATTTCTTATCATTTTTATTTCAACTCTTGAGCAACATCAAATGCTTGAATAAGTGACATTTCTTGCTTATTTTTCTGCTTATTGGTCAGGCAAAAGGTGACAAAAGTCTCTACAGAATTCTATACGTAAAAGTGTACTTCTTCAATAAGTTGATTAATGTTCAGGTTTTCATTTTCTTTTACAGGAAGATGAAAATGAAGCTGAGGCAGAAAATCCATCTCAGGACCTGAATTTGGAACAGAAAAAATCAAAAAAATAGAAGATTGCTTTCTTGTTTGAAATATTTGCAAGTTGTGTAACAGTGATTATAGTTTCTCATTGTAAAAATAACAAAAAAAGTTCTCAATAAAGTCATTGAAAATTAAATTCATGCTGCACTGCGGAATTAATTAAGTAGCTCCTGGTGATATTCTTGATTGCATTAAAAGCTGAATTATCAGAACTGAGCACCATACCGATAAAATTCTAAGAGCTTTTTGAACATAGTATAGAAAGCTGATGGGTTATTCATCATTAATAGCATTTACTAAGCAACAGGTCAATTTTTTTTATTTTTTTTTTTACTATACAAAGCACTGTTATCCTTAAAGGATTGTTATGACTCAGACATATTTTGGTACTTCTGAGCAAGAGCTTTGATTCTTAAAAGTTAGATAAATATATTCTGCTAAATGAGTTGTGAATTTTCTTTTGATCAGCGATTAAAATAAATGTTGCTGACGACTGGGTGGAGGCAAGGATTTTTTGGCATATAGAGGATGTAGTTAGTTTTACATATCTGTATCTCGTGATTTTTAATTGGCTTTGTGTCGCATTATCGTTTTCTTTCACATAAATCTTTTCCATCTTCATGACAGATCATTGTCAGCTAATGAATGTCAAGCTTTTGTCTTGATGAGGCCATCTTACACAGGTACAATTCCTTCATACCAATCTTTCTGTTCTAACACAATAAAATAACTTCTTGCTGTGTCATTAGAGCGTTAAGTGAATAGTAATAATCCAAAATAAAAACCCCTTCTTCCAAAAGTCTTACTGAGTCTTTTTAGGATTGGAGCAACACTCACTGAAGTCCTGTGAGTGAAGTTTATCTTGCTCTAGGAGAAATGAATCATCTTCAATTGAAAAAGTTCTTTTTTCCCACTCTTCCATATATTTACTGTTACTCTGTATATTGAGTGTTAAATCGGATTGTAAATAGTATTCATCCTCAATTTTATCCTGTCTGTATAAATTATAGTTTCAGATATTTTAAAAACAACATGCCTGTGCTTAAGCAGTATTTTTAAAATTCTTTTCTGGTTCATGAGGTTCAAATGTCTGTAGCTTGTGGACAAATTTCAATCACAATTACTCTACAGGAGTTTAATAACACTAGATCTCATTTTAACGCATGCAGCTATCATGTAAATTAGCATATAAAAGAAATTCAGCATTGGTCCGTTTGGTGCAGATCAACCACTGTAGCCACCTCAGAAAGGAAGGGGAATATGATACTGACTTCACTGCAGTGGAAGAGACAGATTTAGGAAAGACAGAAGCACTGATTTACCACGCAGGACGTTATGGACCGTTCTCTGCACAGTGGTGTGTAGAATTGCAGGGGAGAGGAGAACAAAGTGAATATTTTTCCTTTTTTTCAGGCTAACGCAGAAAGCCAAGGTCAGTTCTGAGAGCTTGGTACTCATCAGGGTCTGAAGAAGGGACAGAGTTGCCATTGGAAAGGGCTGTAACAAGTAACAAGAACAAGTAACTTACAAGAAAAGGTGAGAGAATGAGGTTTCACACAGGGCTTACACAAAGGTAGGATAATGACACGGAGACCTGCTGGCTGGGATTGATGACGCCCATGTCCTGGCCTCTCTGCCCGTCCCTGTCCCCCGTGCACGTGGTGTTCAGGTTTATCTGCCCAAATTATTCTATCCTCAGTTAGCACATAGGATTTGTGCAAAATAATCTATTTCTGTTCCGTCCGTGGCAGCAGGTTTGTCCTTTTGCGGTGAGTCTAAGCTCTGACAGCCTGGGACTGTACGGGTGCGTAAGATGAGAAGGGTGCTTTCTCGGTGTTCAGGTTTTGTATGAAAATATATTACTTGGCTCTCAAACTCTTGAGTGAGAAAAATGGTACAGACATTGAAAGATACAGAAGCTTCCATTTGATGCATAATGCTGATGAGCTTAACAGGAGTATTTCTGTATCTTTCCTAAATTCTTAGAAATTGAATATGAAAGTATAATTACATAAATCATGCTTTTAGTTAACTCCTTTTTCAGAAATCCAACATATGCCATCGGAAGTCTGCAGTCAGAGTTGATAAACAGAAACCAGTCCTTTGGTTGTTTAATTCAAAATTCAAACACCGGAATTTAGAGATTTTCACTGCAAAATAATAATAATCAGCACTGTATCATAATCAGCTCAGTTTGAGTTGAAGTGACATAAATGTGACTACATCAAAATGCAGTCCTAACTTTGTCCCTTCCAGAAAAATGGAGGAGACCTATTTTATGACTTGTATGTAGACATTTTTAGTAAACAGAGGGGGTTTTAAATGATAAAGATAAAATAAAGACTATACAAAATAAGTGACTTTTTTTTTCCTTTATCTTGATTCTGATCTAGTTAAAATTTGCAGCTGAATTGAGTTTTTTATATATTCTTGACTTTTCAGACTACCGGTATGGATTTAATTTTTGTCATATATTAATTTCTCAGTGGATGCAGGTTTTTTAGCTGCAACGCACTGGGAAAAGTAGATGGCTGCAACAGTCCTACATGACTATGACATGATGTTTCTGAGTGTTACTCTTCACCAGAACTAAGTTTAAAACCTGGTGCACAATATTCTGGCTTTTATTAAAGGTATCCACACTGCAGTCAAACACAAGCCAGCTTGGATAGCAGCCAGCTTGAAAGCAGCCTAGCTCCTGAAGGGTGAAGCTCAAATGATATCTGAAGATGCTCAAAGGTTAACTGAGAGATGGGGCGAGCAAAAGTTTAGACAGCTTTAATTCAGCTGGTTACAGCCATATTTATGGAGCAGTATATTTGTTGTATGTGAATATACACATGTATGTACATGTGCCTGAGCAGGCAGTTATAATGCCCTTTTTGTTTTATTCTCTCTCCCGCTATGCAGTTATTTAATAGCAAGAGTCACATGCTCCTCTGAAAGTCTAGATGGAGGACTATTTGCTTCCCTTTCAATCCCTCTCATGCATGGCAGTGGTGGTGCGCCCCAGCTGGGAATTGCAGTCTTCTTGTTTGCACCAGTGACAGCTATTTTAGGATGGCTTAGCGGATAATTATGATTTCCATGCTTGAGGAGAAACTGTCATTTTCTTCATATTAAAGCAAATATTGTGCTTTTTGTACAGTTTATGATGGAATACTGTTGTTTTTTTGTTCTGTTCTCCATGTTTGCTCTTTCCCTCCAGTGGAACAGTGGGCTATCAAGGATTTTGTGGACTCCAGTGCTGTGTCTTAGAATCACAGAATCATTGAAGTTGGAAAAGACCTCTAATATCATGAAGTCCAACTGTCAAGCCATCCCCACCGTGGCTACTAAATCACGTCCTGAAGTGCCATATCTACGTTTTTTTAACATCTCCAGGGATGGCGACTCCACCACTTCCTGGGCAGCCTGTTCCAATGCTTCACAACTCTTTCAGTAAAGAAATTTTTCCCAGTATTCAATCTAAACCTCCCCTAATGCAACTTAAAGCTATTTCCTCTTGTCCTATCACTAGTTACTTGGGAGAAGAGACCGACACCCACTTCACTACAATCTCATTTCAGGTAGTTGTAAACAGCGATAAGGTCTCCCCTCAGCCTCCTCTTCTCCAGTCTAAACAGTCCCAGTTCCCTCAGCTGCTCCTCATAAGACTTGTCTTCTAGACCGTTCACCAGCTTCGTTGCCCTTCTGTGGACGTGCTCCAGCAACTCAATGTCCTTCTTGTAGTGAGTGTGTCTTCTATTACAGACAATCACGTCACCCTCAGATAAAAGCAAATTTGTCTATTACTATAATTTTTGTTCTTAGAAAATAATTTCTGACCTTTCCACTCCCCATTAGGTACCTGCACTGTTCCCTCGTGTCGGGGTCAGCAACTTGAGGTTCAGGAGTTCTTGTCAATCACTCACAGAGTAACGTTTCTGATTTATGATAGTATGGTTTATGTTGTAGTATAGATAGATGTGGAATAGCCTGCTCTTAGTTAGAATGACTTCCCTTAGTATATTATCTGATTGTTGTTGTCACGCAAGGATTATTATTCTGAATGCTACATGCTTACATTAAAGATAGGACTCCAAATGGTTGGCATGAACCAAAAAAGCAAAGCTACTTTTGATGCAGATGCTGTTAATCTCCTGTTTGTAGCTCTACAAGCATTGAAATAGTTGGATGTAAACTGTTGTGCGATGAGAGGTATTCTACACACACCAGATATATCTTGGTATTTTAATCACAATGTATGTGTAACTTCTTACTGGTTAAAATGAGAGTTCACAGTATTTTGTTATTGATACATTCAAATGTATTGCTACGCTAGAGATTCGGTGCTCATTTATGTTCTTTCTCCTGAACAGCACTAGTCATAGCGCATTAGGTGCATGAACTGTGACACACAACAGCTAATCCTAACACAATATTCATTTTCTGCTCATTAGAAAGCGTTTTTATACCTTTAAATTAAGAAAATTATTTAAACATGGTTATTCCTCTCAGAAGCTTCAATATTCACACAGAATTTTACAGAAATATCCAGAGAAGTATATCACTTCAGTGCTTCATTGTTATTGCAGTCCCATAAGCCATCTACCTCTTGGTTGGTTGCTCTGCATCACGCTACAGAAACTAACTCTCCCTGACATTAGGCTGGATAGGTTTACCCTGTGAAAAGTGAAGGTTGATTAGAAACTGACTCTATTTCACATGACCTAAAGAAAACAATTTTTACATAGCAATGAGTAAACGGCTTCTATCACCTATCTAACGCTATAGTGCGAAATCATAGCAGGTAATAAATGTTTCCCCACGGTGAATTCAATGTGGATTCTGCAGCGATGTTATCTGGAGAAGGAAGGAAAATGCTGAAGGCAACAGCATGAAAATGCATGCAGCTATGGCATAATTCTGATTTGTTTTGGAAGAACTATTAATTTCCTTGTTACAAAGCCAAGTAAGAGCAACCCTTTAAAACTGTTGAACCATGAAAACCATTTCCTTAAGGGTTTTAAATTTGGGAACAGACTCATGAAATTTATAGCTTTGATGAGATATTCTTTGCCTGCAGTCAGAATGAGAGCCAGATCATTGGTT